AAAGTTGCGATAGAATGACATGTATAAGGACCTCATTTTGACATAGGCATTCGTAAGTAATGTGTTGCTACCAAAAATATCACTTTTCGGTTCAAAATATTCTTACACTCGGATCATAAAGTTGTGTCAGATCGGGGATATAGAATTTTCAAGATAGAGGATATCACTTGCACTTCATGATACTGGAAAACAAAGGAATATGGATTAACTTAAGACACCAGGACCTTTAAGAAAAAAAGACCTACAACAACCAGCCGTGACAAGCAATGTGCTGCTTATTGTGATAGGTAAGAATACACGAACACAAGTTAACTAAAGTTGTCCATGTGCCTCTAGCAACAGTATGCAATATAATCCAGAAGGATCTCTGTCTGAAAAATCGACACAAATCACATGGGCACAAGCTGCTTCCACGACATATCCATTCAGCGTCCACTTGTCCCAAAAAGCTGGAGAATGAAACGGGTATTCATGATATTCTATACGAAGACATAACGGTCAAGTCGAAGAACGTAGCGCTTAGGGATTTTGTGCTATTGGAGTGTTGAAAGCACTTAAAACCTTAGTTCTCGTACACTAAGTTGACTATGGAAAGTATGCAAGGAGGGGTGTTGTATAAAATCTTTTGTAATGAAAACTGCGCTGCAGAATGATTATAAAAATGCAGGGTTCTCAAACATTCTATGCACAAAATACTTCGCCAGAACATTCGGCTTCCTGACTCATGGTTCTCAAACCCAAAGAACCCATAGCTACTGAGTATTTAATAGTCTTATGTTTTTTGTTTATTTATTTTTTATTTGCCAGGATTCTCATGACATTTACCTGCGGCTCCAGTTTGGGTACCCCGTGAAAAAGAGCATGACCGGAATTGGCGACGTGAGCCGTAACGACGTGATGAGGCTCCAAAATCGTTGCTATGTACTCAACACCATGTAGTAAATCATAACTGTGATTCTGTTGTAACAGGGGGAACAGAATATTTCGAAAACCACCGAAAATAAATTTTACATAATTAATCAGATATTCCATTTCAAAAAATAAAATAAAATAAAAAATAAATGGACTGAAGCTATAGAAAGGTTAGGTTAGGAAAATAATCTTTATGGTGAACTTGTCCGTTGTCGTCTTCATTTTGGAGAAGAAGCTATGTTAACAGTAAAACTCGAGATATCCTAAAGCAAGTTAGATTACTTCATAGCCGAAATGTCGTTGTTTGAAAATAAAACAGGAAGCAGGAAACTAAACATGTATATCTTATGTGGCCATATGGTTGGTGTTTATTTTTATCCTCGGCAATTGTCTGTTGTAGCCTATATCTGTTAAATGCTGTCCCCTAATTAGTGTTTATTCAAGTCTTTTAAGTTGAAGTTTCTCATGGCTTCTCTTACACTTACAGAAACAATGCTAAAATTCGGGGTTGGATTCTCCGCAGTGAGCACAGTATATATATATAGCCCATTGTGTAGATTTGTGCATAAAAGAAACAATCAATTCCAAATACAGCTACCTTGCACAGAAAAATATATTCGAAAATCAAAAACGAAAAAAGTATAGTACTCATACCGAGACTCTTAGCCATATATATACAAAATATATATATTTGTTTTATTTTATCACTCATCTGTTTATATTCAATGACGAGTAGATCATTTAAGATAAAGAAAAACCTGCCCAAATATTATTAGTTACTCAAGTATTACTCTGGAATCACTCAGATATAATTCGTTTCGTACAAATAGTTGTAAAATAAGGTTTTACTTTCTTGTAGTTAGTGATAACGGTTTTCATGTTATCGCACTTACACTTATCTATTAATCTTCAATTGTTTTTCATTACTCATTTGTAAATGCGATCACGACTGATTTACTGAAATTTTTTTTTTTAGAGCAAAACCACATCGGGCTATTTGCTCTGTCCACTGCGGGAAATCGAACTCCGCATTTTAGCATTGTAAGTCAGTAAATTTACCGAGGGACTTTACGATAGAATGCTTATTAAAAGTCTTCTCAATTTTTTCTCTCTTTATAATGAAACTTTTAACTCGTAATGTTTACTAACAATGAATTTCTTTCCTGGAAAGGGGGGTTTGACACTATAAACAGTCATGACACACAAATTAATAATATCATTATGATAGTAAAAGTCTAGGATGAAGACTGTGTGGATGTGTTTGAAGTCTCTAGCGTAAAGATGGAACTTGTAAACCAACTGGGGCCTAGCAAAAGAAGAAAATATCACAAACCTGATGCATGGTTAATTATTTTTAACTTAAAAGTTTGCTAATCAACTTCTACGTTAAGTAGCTCTTCTATCAAATGAAATAAAGTAGATAATAACAATTAATATCGTTTCAAGGCAGGACAGCCGATAAGGGGGATAAGGGGAGGGGTCATCAGGGGACCCCGAACAAATTGACTTTTCAGCGTGCATTAAAAACTGCCATATAAAAAGGATCGAAAAGTTGAATTTTGTAATTACCTAATATTATGGGGGCCCATATGCACATGATTACCCCCGGAGCCGGAATAACTCTCGACGGCTCTGTTCCAAGGCGTAGCGATAGCTTTATTAAAACTGTAAACATTTGACAATTAGAAAGGGGTCTCTTCCATCTTACGTTTTAAAATCCAACGAGTCGGGGATGATATTACAATTAATTTTCTATGATCAATACTTCACTTGTAACCAGTTTGGTTAAAGAAATCGAAAAACAGTGCCAAGTAAATCACAGAGGTGATATATGACCAGTCTATGCTGACTGAAGGAGTAGATCTTAAATAATAAATACTTAATGAGACAAATCTAATGGGTGAACACGCACGGATTACATAAATGTTAATTTCTGCCTTTGTGATCTCACATTCATGGGTTAATCAAAAGTACACATTTTTCCTAGTTAAAATCGTTCTAGTTTAGCCAGTCTTCTACTGATATTGTTGCCTTTTCTAAATTATTAACAATGTTAGTAACATTTACTTGAACTTTTACTTGTGACTTAAGCCTTCCAATGGTTGATATCAGCGTTTTAACTTTGTTATAAGACCAATATACAGTTTAACCCTCATCCATACCGATCTGCAGTGTTTGAACCCTTTTCAATATTGTTTCAATTATATTGTGCACTGTTTAATCGTTCAACTATAAGAAATTACACCAATTTATTTTGTACTAAGCACTATTACCTTTGACAGTAGGCAAATATAACTCATTTTATAAGATGTTTTTAAATTGTGCTTCGACAAAGTAATTTCCTTTTCTCATAACATTATAGTCACATGTTATAAAATAAACTTTAATAATTTTTTCTTCATTTATATACTGTGTATAATTCGAACCTACACCAATTTCACTTTTTAAATTCCACACCTGCTTGTTAGTTTCTGATAACTTACCAACTGACAAGCTTGACTTTTTATTAATGTTATTAATAATACTGACACTTGTACTTCTAAGTTATATGATTTCTCTATACACGTTTCTTGCAATTAAATATAATAAGCTATTTATTACTACCTTATCAAAATATTTTTTATCAGTATATAACCTGATCTTCAAATTAACCTACAAATACATTTTTATACTGTTGTTCTTCCATCTTTCTGTTTTCATATAAGATTTTGTTTGTTTTTTAAGTGCAAAGCTGCACAATGAGCTATCTGCGTTGTTCCCATTGCAGTAATCGAATCCCGATTTCTAGCATAATATGTCCTCAAGTTTACAGTCACCGGGAGGGGTGGGGTGGTGGTTGGAATACAAGAAGAAAAACAATTTGGTTATGAAACACAAACTTTTATCATGATGTCAATCTCTATCATTAAAGATGTATTATACAGCAAAGTATTTTTTTATATATTTCGTTACCCACCCTCATCGTGTTGGCTCAGCAGTACGTTTGAAGTCTATAGTGATTAAACTTCAACATTCGATCCCTGCGGGTAAAACACAGATATCATATTGTGCAGCTTTGTGCTTACAGCAAACGGAAATTTATCACAAAAAAATGAATATTTATTTATAATCATTCGTCGTTGGAGCCGTATGAATCATCCACGAATATTTACGATCTTCTGAAGAAGCGCTATTCGAATTACCGTGTTCTTGAAGCCAATATCAAAGTTTCAGATATCCTGAATCTAAGTCACAATTGTCTCACTTTATGTCAGAACTTAAGTCGGTTAAATAAAATAATAATCCGTGTTTACATAATTAGTTATTACATAAAATAATCCGTATTTACATAATTAGCTATTACCACTGACGTTTATTGATCCATCATGGGGGCTGCTACTGTTAGTAGCACGGATGCGTTGTTGTAACTTTAATGAAAGCATGCATTCTATATAGTATATGTTATCTTTGAGACGACGTTTTTGAAATGTTGCATACTTATAAATAGCACTTAGTATCTCTACCCCGTATTTTAAAACGATTTAAATCAACATCAATGACGTTATGCTCCACTAAAGATTTTCGCAGTAAAAGAATGGTTAAAAGGCGGAATCATCATTTAGAGTGACAAAAGTCAAAATTCCTTTTAATTATTATACTTTTGTTCATTAATGCTTCAGTTTAAGAATGAGAGGCGTAAATCTAATGTATGCATCGTGTAGCATTGTTAATTATTTTCTGTTTTTACTTTTGGTACTTTTAGTTTTACACAAAGAAAATTCTGAATGTTATAATTCATTTTTGAATTCATAACTTCATATGCAATACTGTGTGAAAATTTGATATGAAAACACCTTTCTAAACATATCGTCGTTAAATTAGCAGCACCTACGTAAATTGTTATATACGTTTAACACGAACTAGCAGAGTAGAAATGATCCGTGTTGTTGGCTAAAAAAGTAAAATGCTCTTAGTAACGTCATAATATTTATCGTCCATTCCGAAAATTACCCACAGGGTTAGAACTTCTCGTGTTATGTTAATCCCATTTTTTAAAATCACAATTTCTCCACATTTTTTAGGGATATAAAGTACTGCTGAACACTTACCTTTACAGCGTCATATTTGACCTTATCTTTGTCGGGAACGTTTACTTTTGTTATCGTGCCCATCTGCGGCATATCCATCCTTCACATTCAAACGCCAAGGTTCTTCCAACCGTGATTGCTCTTGTCGCTGAAGAACTTTGCTATCCCTGTATACGTTAGCCTCAAAAGGTCAGTCTTCATTCCACTGTTACATGTTATGAGAAGTTTAAGACGGATAATAGGAATTTTAAAATTCACAATTAAAGGTCTATTATCGTCTTTCTACAGTACGCATCGACTTTGCTTCGACTATATCTAACATTTCCCAGGCTGTATATGTTGGCATCTTGCCAACGTGCAGTTCAGCTGACGACAAGCTAAGCTCATGACGTTGTAAAAGGCAAGTTCATGCATTGTAGGTTAGGGGAAGATATCTCCATTGCTAAGATGCGTGGGTGAAAATACATCTTCAGAATATCTATCACCTGTAAACAATGCACACTAACATAAGTATATAAAACTTTTTTCATGTGCACATTAAAATATCAGTACTCAAGTTAGAAAGTGTTATTAAGTTTTGAAAATTCGCCTAAATATGGAAATAATACAAAATAATAAATAAAGAGAAAAATACAACTGTCATTATTGGTGTACGTCGACAATAAATACGTATCTCAAATAAATATAAAAATGTTTTTAATGAATCAAAGATGTGTTTGGAGTATTTACCCAAATTTTACATACCACAGCCATGTTAGTGGGGGAGGTACCGGGTATCCAGAAATGTGGTTGACCCCCACCCCCAAGCTAATGTTGTCTATTATTCTAATTTTAGATTTGGCCCCATTATATGTCACATTGCATCCCCCAAAAAACCCCAGTTAAGAAAAGCTGGTAACAGGACTGATTTATGTTCCCTCTTTTTCACGAAGTTTCGGTTTAATTGTAGACATACCGAACGTACATGCTTTAGTTCCAATGATATTAACCTAGGAGAAATTACACCATTTTTTGAATGGTTGCATTTTGAAGTATACCGCAAATTTATCGCATAAAGTGCTGTTCAGGTTGAAAATACTTAATACTTTAAATGCTGTTTATCCGGTAAGTCTGTTGCGAATGTGTGATACCGATATCAGTCACAACATACCACTAATTTTCTGACGATGAAGGACCTAGTATTTAGAATGAATATGGACAATATATTGAGGTTAAGAATATAATCATAAGATATCAGAGGTATTACGTCTAAAGAATATGAAATACTGTACAATACGGTAAGCTGTTTTTTTATATTTATTCCAAAATGAAATTATCTTTCAAACTATACGAGATATTTTTAAACTATCTGCTTAAAATTATTTCTAATAAACTGTAGAATAAATCTTGTAAATTTATAAGATAGTTGTAAACATGTAAATTATATGAGACAGCTTATAATTCTTTAGCCGGAAGAATAACAACAGTTTACTTTAAAATAATTACACGACATTACAGTTTATACTAATACAAGTTGTGGGCAGTAAAGGGCAATATTACCATGTACTTACAATAACGAAAATACTAAATACCAAATATAAGACAACAGGGCTGGCGCTAGGGTGGGTTGTGCACCTCCCAAATTTCAATTTGGTTCACCCAAGTTCATTCTCCTTAACGATTTGAACAATCACATTATCAATTAAAAAAACAACAAACATATGATTTTGTTAATATCACTAAGAAGAGTCAATAAAAGCTCCCCTTTCCCCAGGGGAGAGGAGCTTAATGAATTCGTATCTAAGTAGTGAAATGTTTCAGAATAAGGTGATAGTGGTACTACTGATGATGAATAGCTTAAGCACATATTGCAATATTTGTATAATTTTTTTTACTATTGAGTTTTTAACTTTATTCTGTAGTTATAGAATTCGTTATATGCACATGACGTTATTAATCCTTTCAGCATTCGTACATAATACTATAGGCGCACACAGAATTTTCTCTTAGAAATAAGTTCATCGCAAAAGTGTTCGTTTCGAGATATACGCGCAAAGCTACACAAGAACTATCTGAGCTAGCCATCCCTTATTTTGAATTGATAGACCAGAGGGAAAAACACAAGTGAAAAGCACCAACCGCCAACTGTTGGGCTATTATAATCAAATAGTGGTATTTGACTATCACTCTTATTACGCACCCACAGCCCAAAAGTGCGAATTGATGCCAATGAGACGCAAGCCGGGTACCCTCCGGTTAATAGGCGGGTCCTTTAAACACTCCTGGACCCTTATCTTCAAGGTTTTTAATTCTCGTATCCATGTTGCGGAAATCTTTCGGTGATGAAGACAATGTTTTTGCTTGGATATTCATATACCCAAAGTTATAAAGAAATTCATTTACGCACCGATTACTAGTAAATTCAGAAACACATATCTCAACAAAACTGGTTTAGTCTTTCTCTGAAGGCATTATACGAAACACGAAGAGGTTTTAGCTCAACGACCTCGTGAAAGAAAATTTCATTCGGGTAAAACTGATTAAACTTAAAAAAAGAAAGCAAGAAAAAAGCTTAAAATACTTTAAATTAAATATGAAATTGTCCTTATGCATATATGTGTGTGTGTTTAAGTTCTTTTTACGTAAAAAGTTATCTTATAATAGGATAGCATTTTACTTTGTAATATAACTTACACAAATTAAAAGCGGGTGAAATTTCTGAATTAGTCATCTTTTCGAAGTTCAATCAAAAACTAATATTTGAGTTTTATGTTAATCTTCGAACTGTATCATACGTATTTTATATATAATAATAGCATTTGTGTGTAACACTTAAGATACACACGGCAAACATACATATATGTATCTTATATATAATAGTAACATTTGTGTGTAACACTTAAGATACACACGGCAAACATACATATATGTATCTTATATATAATAGTAACATTTGTGTGTAACACTTAAGATACACACGGCAAACATACATATATGTATTTTATATATAATAATAACATTTGCGTGTAACACTTAAGATACACACGGCAAACATACCTTTGTGAATTGTACCTAATTACCTTATGCAAATTAAAAATATAAGCATCTTATCATATGAATATTCTGGCACTTTGTTTCTTAATGTAACAAGCGTAAATTGTTTGAACGTGTACTAGAACAGTACAAGTTGACTCATTTCGGTGTAGCTGTAACATCCGTGTTCCTACTTCTCTGTCCGGTTCTTTCGAGCGTGCTACGTCCTGACCTGACCTGACACACATAAAATTCTTTGGATTTTATTCCCTACTCTTTCATATCCCCTCTCCCCAGTTCTGTCTTTTTAAACAAGTTAAACAGAGCAGCCTAAATAAGTTGATTTTATGTTCTAAATAAACTCTACGCTTATTTGATAAAATTCCGTTAAAATTTACCCTTAAAACACGACCGTCTTATTCTAATCACATACTATAACATTTTTTTTTTTATATATTCACACACAATTTCTTTTTCATTTAACATTGTAGCAAGTTAATTATAAGCTACCACTGTGGAGGTGGTTATGCAAGTCTATTAAATATGAAAATAAATAATTAAAATTATAAACAACGTAGTAGAAATCTTTACATATTCGAAACATTATTTCGTCTCAACTGTTACGGATATAATTTTCCGAGAAATATCGACATTAGTTATTGATGCCTGTTACAGTGTAACTTTAGTTGCTATTCATCTGGTGGTATTCTGCAAGCACACTGTATTATCTAAACCATTAGGCGCAACAGGTGTGCTGTAGTTATAATACCACACGTATAATTTGTTTATTTATACCAAACATGTCCCCCAGTGGCAAGGCGGTATGTCTGCGGACTTACAACGCTAGAATCCGGGTTTCGATACCCGTGGTGGGCAGAGCAGAGATAGCCCATTGTGTAGCTTTGTGCTTAATTACAAACAAACAAACCAAACAACAAAATGTCAACTTTTGTTACACTTAAGCAAATCAAAAAGTGTGAAACTAACCAAAACGTTTTAATGACATGATTATTAAGAACACCTGTTTAAAGTTAAAACATACTTCAGAATTTGAAGTTATTTAGATGCTGTATGTTTAAAATAAACATAGTTAACATACTCTTTACACTCTAGATTCTCAAAATTCCCATAGCTTTTTTGGACAAATGACTTTAAAATGAGATTCAAAAGTAGCTCTAAAAATGTGCATGTTTAACTACATGTAATAATTTTTTTTTTTATAAACATAGCAATAAAATGTCAGTTTTCTGGTTGTACCTTGACTTTGGTTAACAATAGATGTGTGATGGTTTAAATGTAGGTGGTCAAGTCAGACCAGTGCCAAGGTGAAGGTGGTTTCCTCATATATCAGTATGTTTTCCAGGGAAAGGTATTTTATAAAGCACTATTACCAAGCTTGCACTGTACAGAATTTGGCAAAGAAAACATAGAAACCTTAGAATATACCGTTTTTTTTTCAGATTTCAATCAGCAATCTAAGAAGCAGTTGTCAACTGGTACAAAATACAGACTATATGTAATGCCTTAGAAAAATTGTTTTATGTGTCTACTTAATTGTGTTCTGTTTAGGTTTTATTGATGCCAGCTAAGGGTTTCCCTTAAGAAAGAAAAACAATATAAGAGATAATACTAGTTAATGTTCCCTTTTATTCATTATTAAATCCCTAATTACATACCCTGATGAGTTAATAATTGACTCCTTTAACTCATTAATTATTTGTACCTTTAAATTAAAAGTATATAAAAAAAAATTTAAATGTTTCCTGTTTTAAGGGAAGAGTTATTTATCCTCCTTTTTTTGGGCAATTTTCAGTTACCATATAAAAAATTACGGTAATCGAGACAGCCAACTTTGCATGTTGCAAGCCAAAAGTCTATAAATAAAAGTGGAAATGTGACCTATTTCAAGGGGCTTTTTTATCCCCTTTCTTGGGAAAAAAGGCTAAAACAAAATTGTTCTTGTACACCACTGGACAGTTTTCAGTTACCTGTTCCAAAAATTATGGTAATCAAGCCAGTCAACTCTGGATGATGAATGCTAATACATAGCAACAAATAATGAATCTTTATTGTAAGAAGCCTCTTCAGGTACCAAATTGTATAGTAAGTACTCTTTTATTAATCTCTGAAAACATCAGTCAAGGATACAAGTGTTTAATCAATAAGCAAAAGTTGTTATTCTAAAAGCACAGTAATAACACTTATTTCTATTAACACAAATATTCATATTTGTACAATATCTTCTTTCCAAAATCAATAGCTTTGGTGGGGAAAAAATTATAAATAACAAATTTTATTTCAAACATCTATAAATATCTTTACTTGGGTGTATTAAGCATTTACATAATTTTTTTATATAGAAAATGATTCAGGAATAAAAAAGGTAAATTAAATATGGTAGATGTTGCTTCTTCTTCATAACTTACAATGTTACTTACTTCAAAGGTCTAAACAGCATTACTTTTGTACATTTATACCATTGTCTGTGAAACCTTGTGGTAAGGTGTCAAAATTACAAAATTCAATCAATATAAACTAAATAAACAGCAGTTTTTCTCGTTATCATGACACAACCTTATAAAATGTCATGTACCAAGCATAAACAGAAAAAAGTAAATTGAGAACATTATTAATGTATGAAGTTTATGGACAATACATGGGATATAATCAAACATGAAAAATGTTGAAAGGTACAAACACCTACTAATGAAAAGAAAAAATCCCAATCTGGTAACACCTTGTTGCAGTATTTCAAAGTATATTATACAAGCAGTGTACCAAAATGACACAACAGTTCACACTCCTACAATTTTAAAACTTTCTAATATCAAATTATTGATCTATAGTCTGATTTTTCTAATTAAAATGTTGGCTTTTGATTGGGTAAAAGTTCATATATAACTAGGATGTTGATTAAAAAGTGACCCATTTATATTTTGATACAAAACTTTAACAAGGATGGGAGCACTGCAAAGTACTCAACACTGAAAAAAGAAAAGGTGACAGACTGGCATATATAGATAAGTAAAAGGGACAGTCAGGCCATAAGTTCAAAAGGGTTACTTAACCTGAGCAACCAATGCAATTTTTTTTCACTGTTAACAGATAAATATTAAGACAGGAAACTCTCATTTCTGATTTAAAATTGTGGTTTAGAACAAAAATCTAAAATGGGCAAAATTGAACTGCATAGAATAAAACAAATACAAAAAAAATCAGCATTATTTTCTCTCACAGAATACTCAAATAGTTTTAAATATAATATAGTTTTAAAACAATTTTTATAACTGAAAACTTTAACATTTTACTAAAACTAAATCTGACTATTTAAAATAAATGTTTCTGGAAATCTGGCACACTCAAGCATAAGAAACATATGTGTATCTTGAATAAAACTAATTTTTAGAAGCACACACACACACTTCACCCTGAAACTAACATTTGTTTTAAATTTTTAGAACTGATAACTAATATGAAAACTCAAGGTTTATTTTTCTCTGATTATGCATAAAACAAATTACTACTTTTTCCAAACAAAACCATAGCATCAAACAGATTTTGACAATTACAAGTTTTCAGTATAGTATATACACTGTGGTTCCTTAACCACTTAGAACATCAGAGAGAGAAATTATATGAACTATTAAATAAAACCTGTAGTCTTAGAACTGTATTGTGAATAATTCAACTATGTTCATTACTTTATGTTCAAAATTATTTTGTATAATCATATATACTTTAACTACATTTTAAAAACTAATGAGCATTTGAAATTATAGTCGAAAAACTGTATAATAAGCCCCAGTCTCCAGAAACCTGGATATCTCCCTCTAAGTATGCTTGCCTGGGACTTGTTTTGAGACATAAAATCTTTGAAAGAGTTTCTTTTGAAAGGGTGATTTCGACATTTGGATCACTGGGAGAACTACTTCCTGTAGCCACTTGTACAACACCTGGAAATAATTGTTTCTATTAGAATATTTCTGATCAGTTAGCAAGTTGATGGAGTAATTCAATTCTAAGCATAAGCTATACTGTATGTTTAGGTCCAATATACTTATCCTTTTTGAAAATGTATCTTCTTCTTATGATAAAATACAACTTAGGAAAATCATCTAAAGGATATATTTTGAATATTATACAACTTGTTATCACTGTACACGAGGTAAATTTCAATGAAATCATTTTTTATTGAACTCAAGATTTTAAGTGCTTATTCTCATGTTGGAAACTTCTAAAGCTTTAAATTCTTTATACATTACATCTATTAGCATTAATCTTCATCAGCTCACAATGTCATCCCAAAACTTCTAAGGCAGATTCAGTCCACAGAAGTCTATAATCATTTACAATCTTCTCTATCTAAAATTTCTCAAACAAAAATGTCTTTTTTTTAATCATATTCATATTCTTATTCAGTGTCTACTTGCACACAGTTTCTGATCAGTCCTATTCTGCTGTTTTGGATACAGCTAAAAATATAAAATAATTTACACATGTGCTAATCTGAAGTTTGAATGTGCTGTATGGTACTGTAGGTAAATGTCTTACAATCCAAGGTAAAAATGTTTTTTTGACATTTTACAATATAAATAAAACATATAGGTGGCAGTCTTTTACAGTTAATGGATAGTTTCTTCTTTGCTAAAATTATTCATACAAACACAAACAGTGTAAATGATGATTATTTCTTAGCTTCTTTTAGTTGTACTATAGAGTCTATTAATAAACATCTTATTACTACAAATACAACATGTGAATTTGTAAGTTTTCTGAGTATGCTTTGTATGTAGTTTAAAGTTTTTAAAGGAGTAAACTGTTTGCAGGATACATTCTAAACACTTTTATCAGAACAAACTTTAAAATACACTGTTATTTGCTAACCACTATACTAAACACATTTTCTTTAATCTGTTTCTCAGTGTGAATAACATCAGCTCATTTGTTGCAATTAGTTTTCAATACCAAGTGCTGTAATAAGAAAAATAAAATGCAGACCTCATCAGAAGTGATCAGTGCAAAAACAAATTAATAAGAGAAAACATAAAAACTGCAATGTTTTATTTCTACAACTTTTCAACGAAGGCTTAAGATTTTACTGCAGAATGTTTATGGTTTTTGTATCTTCACAGAAAATGGATAAAATGGTGAAGTGGCATCTTAACTTGAAATGGGACTTAAACATCATACAGAAGATACAATCAAACACAAAATGTCACTACACTGGAGGACTTTTGTTTTGAAGAGTGTAATTTTTATTTTTAATATATTATTCCATCATAAAGGAATACATACCACAAAATTATCAGAATGTGATATTCCTAAAATACACACACACACACACCTAGATCTTACAATGATGATTGTTAAATTAGGGGAGGAACTAGAGATCAATGAAAACATGTAACATATAAATGTCTATATCTTGGTATAAAACTTAGAACATTAGCAAAACATAATAGGAGATGTATCAAACTCTTTAAATGTTTTGGAATTAATAATCATAACTGATATCATCTGATGGTATTACACACATCAGTAACTTATATAGCAGTATTTTATCAACTGATATGAAGATTGCACAATACTGTGGCACCAGGGCATGGAACAAACATGGTAAATAAATGACTTAAGGATTAAACAGTTTGGTAAAGTTATTAACTGTAGTAAAGTTACAAAGCTTAAATAATTATGAGTTATTTATGTAGTAACCACATATGAACTTGCACTAAAGCAAAGTTATTATACTGTCTCCAAAAACAATTCTTATTAAATCAATATTGTTTCATTTTCCTACTTAATAAGTACATTTTAAAACATTTATAAAACAAGTTAAAGTGTACATGAAAAAAAAAAAGAACAGCTAAGGAACAACTTTACCATTTGACAAAATGATGTTTATAACTCCTCCATCAGGACCTTCAACATCTAGTCTGATAACAGCATTTTCTTTGAATTCTTTCTCAGAGAGTGATGCTTGAGCTAGTTGTTCAATCATTTTGACTAAGCTGTTAAAGTCTTGAGGAATGGTTTCAGCAACTGAGTTGGACAGAGGACCAGCTATTGATTTCAACTCCAAACTGCTTGCATCTGCAATATCAATAAAAAATAATAAGTTTACAGTACAAAGTACATTATACTAGAGCTTTACAGCACACCTAGCAAAAACATAAAACTGGTAATTTATTGTCAAGTTCTTCTAATCTAAGGTAATTCTAGGGCTTAAAGATATTAATTCCATTACTAAATTCTTCCAGTGTTTTTACAATAACCATTTATAGTGAATGCTATGAGGTAAAAAAAAAATCTTCTTTGTACTCAGATTAGATCTTTACCAAATTCACTTTACTGGAAGAGTCGTAGTGTTTTTCTCCTTATCTTTATTACTTATTTCTTTAAATACTAAGGTTTCTAACTTCCTTCTAGATGTATTTTGAAGTCTTCTCATTAAAATATTGCATTACTTTAAAAATAACTTTACTTCCCTATTTTAATCCCTCAGCTAATGCAAATGCTTCATCTGACTGCAATAAACCTTGTTAACCCTATGGTACCTGGCACAAATTTTTAACACTTCCTTTCTGTGTTGCATTAAAAATTTAATTAAACCACTTTACTATCAATATAGTTTAGTTGAACTATTGACACATAAGATACAATGGGAAACAGAAATAAGTTTTGCCAACTCTTGATGGGTGCCACGCCCACCTCGTATACTTTGCTGTGAAATTTACAACATACATGTAGTTAGTTGACGGTTGACACAAATGTATATAGTCGTTAGATAGAGCTCAGTTTACACTATACATCACCAATGGTTAATTTGAAATTGGCAAGCAGTTTTCCTCCCTGGGTACATATAATTGCTGTTAGTATTGTTGTCTGCTTGATCAACTATAGCACTTATGGAGGTTTCTTACATAAATATGCTATAGTTAGAGAGACAATTAAATTGTATTTAGGGTTTTACTTTTATATTTTAGTTATTTGTGCATTATTTGTGTTTTAAAAATCATATTTGAAAGGATTAATGACTTTTATAAGTTTAACTTGTTATTGCCAAGATTGTGAAACCTTATAAACACAGCACTTGTATAAGCGCCATCTTGTTTAGGCAACACGTCTCTGTGTGGAGTCCACCTAAATAACTTCAAAAAGCCCCCACAGGCATCAGTTGAAATATCGGCATAAATAATAAGACAAAAAATGTGAAAGGAAGATTATAAATAACCTATAAGTGGAAAAATAAAGACGTGAAATTATGCATATAAGAAAAAGAAGACTATTCTAGTGAATTATTATGAAGAGTTGAAAGATATGTACATATTTCCATTTCTTAATTTTAAACATTTCATTGCACTGTATATTGATTATAATAGATAGTCAATGATTTAGTACAAAAAATGTAAAATAAAATATAAACATTTACTTTAAAAACTTTTTGATATTCATTTATGAGGTTCTAGAGATTATGCAAATAAAATGTGAAAACTGTAAGATTAAAAATAGTATATTTATACTACATATAAAAATCACCTTGCAGGTGAACTATTCAGAGTTCAAATGCAAATAACTACATGAAAAAACGAATTTTTATTAGAAAGAGTAAAAAAAATTAAAAATGATATTTTTTCTGAAACTAAATAATTTTAGGACCTTCTTACCCACTAGTTTTATTTTCTTAACGAAATATGACAAGAATGACGTTATCTATGCTCTGATAGCAAAGCTGGGCATCATCAGATTAAATACACAATGTTGTTATTACGAATCATTACATTCATATTTGTAATGCGTGTTTTGAAGTCATTCTAAGATATAAATTAAGGTCAAATTCAAGATTTTGGAAGTTATGTTTCATTTTTATAACTACATCTACACACATTAAAAAGTCCATAAACTTTAAAATGTGTCCAACCTTCAGTTTCAGAATGCATTCCAAATGCTGTTTTCAAGCTTGCAATAACAGGTTTTATGGAATTGGATGGTTCTGCAGCTTTTATCACTTTTACTGGCCCTCTATAATGGAATAATTTAAAAAGATTAAATGTAGTTATTCAGAATTATATAATGAAAATAATCTATCTTTTCATTCAATCGTCTGTTTTGAAAATGAGAAGATAATATTTTAAAATGTTTGATCACTTGATTACATAACATGAGGTAACAGATATTGTGATAACTGAAATTTAATACTCCAACAGATATTAACCTTTATAAGTCCAACAAAGAACTTAAACAAAGTTGTTACTGTTGTAATATATAAAAAGTATATGTATAAAATAATTATGTACACAAAACATATCAATTAGAAACATACCCAGCAAATAATTTTATATTAGTACTGTATCTGAGCTGTTAGAAATGTTAAATATGAAAGAAAGGTTGCTGAATATTGAGAATAATTACATTAAAGATAATGAGAAGCTACAAACGCTCAAGAGACTGTTACAGATGATAGGTTTGCTTAATGGAAAACAGATTAACATTCGTGTCTAAAGAATAATTGGTGGAATAATCAATGTATCCATTAAATGTAAAAAATAGTAAAATTAGTCATTAACTAATTATTCATTCATCACATCATTATCTAATGGCAATCTTGTATTGCTGGTTATTCAAGTTACTGTACCATGATCCTATGTCCATAATAATTAAGCTAATAGAAAACTAAATTATTTCAAAAAGAAAATAAGTATATCAGCTTAACTTTTTGCATACAAGATGGAAGATAATTACAGTGATCACAGACAATGTTCAATCATATTTAATATTTCATTTATATTAAAATTTATAGATAGGTTTCAAAACAGTAATATTAGTGACAACATAATAATGCTGTATAGTTGTGATAACTATATTAGGAAAGTAATAAAAAGAAACACAAGTCTTTCTGTAAATGATAACTGCAATCTTAAGAAGTAGTTTTATATTTCACAAAGATAAAGAAATGTCACTGTACATACTTTTATTTATGTTATGGCACAACTCTAAAAAGTGCATGGAGTGAATATAGGTAATCAGTTTTTAAAAAATGGAGAATCTTATAGAGGGCTTGTCTAGTTTACTTCATAAAACTAAAAATTTTGTAAGATAGTCAGCATGATTTCACAAGAGGAAAATATTGCCCTTATAATTTTTTGACATTCTTTGAAGAGGTTACTGCTTATGTAGCTAAGGAAAAGGTTATGGATTTGGTGTTATGTATCTAGATTTTCAAAAATCATTGACGTGATACCACATAAAAGACACGTTAAACAATTATCTCTATAGGTGTGGGGAACAAGTTGGCTCATTGGATAGAAAAGTGACTGGATGGAAAAAAAACCAGAGGGTTGATATAAATGGAGTTTAGTCAAATTGGATTAATGTCACAAGCAGGGTAGCTCAGGGCTCAGTAGTAAGATCTTTACTTTTTTAATTTATATAAATGATGTATAAAAATGAATAATCAAAAAGTTACTTAAATTTGCTGATGATACTAAAGTTTGGGTGTTGTTGGCTGTAAGGAGGAGGATGCTGGTTTACAAAAGGATTTAGATTTGCTGAGTTGAGCATGATTGCTTTTAACTGTAAAAAATGCAAGATAATGCATGTGAGTTGTCATAACTTGAATTATAATTTTGATCAGAATAACCTTAACAGTGTTAAAGAAAAAAAACGATCATGGTGTAATGGTTGATCAATTATTTAAGCCATTCAAGTAGTGTGCTGTTGCTAGTAGTAGGGCAAATTGAATCTTAGATTGTTCTTATGTAAGTACTAAATATAAATCTAAAGAGTCTACAATTTCATTGTGTAGATCACTGGGTAAGGCCACATTTGAGATATTGTGTTCAGTCATGGACTCTTCACCTCAAGAAGGACAAGTGAATTGTTGAAAATGGTTCAGAGGAGGATCACTAGGATAATACTTGGAATGGAAAGGTTTTCATACAAGAACAGATTAATATATTTGAAATTATCTTCTCTTTAAAAAAGAAAATTTAGAGGATATATAATTGTTGTGTTTTATATTGTTAATGGAACTGATAGTTTCAGTGCATCATATTTTTTTTACCTTATGGTAAGAAAGGTAGGACTAAGGAAAACAAATGTAAATTTTGGCAAGGTAGGAGTCATCTTCAGCTAAAAGTTTTATTTTTCTCTAACAGGATGGTTGGTGTTTGGAATGGATTGCCTTCAGATGTGATGGTTAAAATAAAAGTTAAAACAGTTTAAAGAAAGACTTGATTAATATTTGAACGATAAGGACTGTTGTGGAGTTTCTTTTTCTTTAAAGTTTAGTTTAGCTCAAAGGACAGTCTAACTAAACTAACAGGTCCCTTGTTGCCCTTACATTTTATGTTAACTGTTATAATTCTCAATAATACACATAAAAATCTAATTAGATCATTCTTGGTTGGCATGTGCAGGCTGAAAGTTCTGCCAACCTTTGTAAAGTTTGGCTTTAGGCTTAGGACTAATTTATGTCTGCCACTTTATTTGAATGTTAAGAACTTTTACCTTTAATGTGATCTTGTATAAGCTGGTTAAAAAAGTTTTTTCCTTCATGAGATATTAATACCAATTAATTAATACATCCTTCTACAAAAGGTAATTCCAATTTTATTTCCACCCAAAAGTTCACATTATGTAGCAAGCACTTTTATTTGGTTATTACAAATAAGCAGACATAATCAGAATGGGTCACTATTCTACTATTTGTATGATAACAGCATTAACATAAGATGATGAATGGCAACAGTAGGCCTACTTCAGATTGTAAATTTCTTTTTGGTGGCATATTTCAAATACACAGTATAGAACACAAGCCAAATTTTGTCCAGTAAGCCTACTTACTACATGCTGTATGTTTATAGCTTACACTACAAAATATTCTTAATTAATTCATATTGCAGCATTTCAAGTAGAATATGCATTACAGCTTTAACTCATTAGTGGCATCTAACAATATGGGATAGTAAAATGAAATATTAACTTTCAATCAGAGCAAGTTACCTACTTAAAGAAAAACTAAAAATCAACCTGGTTATAAGCATAGCTAAATAAATACACTTTCCTTACTTATAAAGATTAGACTACATTGTTTAATCACTTGGGTACATTCACTGTTAACATTTTCTGGTTTGGTAAAAATATATTTTCTTGTGAAACACAGTTTTATAATATCAAAAAAGTTTTGATTATGCTTAGTTAAATAAGTCTATACCTAACATAGTTGCAATTTGATTATGAATTCAACTTTAGTTGCACTTAAAATAGGATTTGGTATAAAAGAGAATAAAACGTTTTTCAATACTTGATAAGTTTTAAATATTACAAAAAAAAATAACTACTACATCTATAACTATAATTCTGAAAGTGTTCTTATTATATCACGTATCTGATAAGATATTTCATTACTGGACTTGTCTTTGTGCTAAATTCAAACCATTATTCCATCAATACTAAAAAAAGAAACTGCTTTCTAACTTCTCTCATCCGAAATTAGCTTGGCCTAACTATGACAAAGAATACCTGTTCCAGCTTTGTAGATTACATTGGCCAATCAGGCCTTCGATTAAACATACCTCTGCAAATAAAGATCACAGTGACAAAAGGCCTTTCACTTATTGTATAAAGAAGCTTACTCCTTCACCTACCAAAATCAACCAACTAGAGCATCTAATCAAAACCTAAATGTAACTTTTATATCCATATATACATATATATCCAACTAACAGCCATCAACTCATCACTCTGAGTTATACATAAAACACTAAAAATTATGATAATTGCAATTTTTCATGGGGTCATCCTCTTTAATTTTTTGAAACAAAATAAACAAGATGTATAGAAGGACTTTATACATAGGCTATTAAACAATCTTTTGCATGTGTAGTTTTAATTTTAATGATGTTACGTTAAGTAACAAATTAATAATTTAACTCAAAACTGTTTTATAAATTAACTTCCCATGATTCAAGTGTAAAATCCACACATACAACACAAGTTTTTTTGTATTTAATAAAATTTCATAAGTTTTTCCTTAAGAAGCAAGGATTTTCTCAATACATTTAAAATTCCTTGTAAAACATAGTTGATCAGAAGTTTTCACTTCACCTGTTGTACAAATTAATATAAACAAATTCACTAAAAATATTTATATAAAACAAATATAAACACAAGCATGCAGTTTTAACCTTTTCAATTTAGTGTATATTTCTCATTACTATGAAATATGTCATATAATGAATACAAAATATCAAACATACTGTTGATGTGAATGTGCTTTGTAGTCACTATGAGAAAAACCTATACATTAGATAGGTGAAGAAAAAGTGTCATTGGCCACTATTCAGTTCTTCACATAACGTATGTTTGATACTTTTCAGATTATCTCTCTTTGGTTAACTTGTATTCAGGGTTGCTGATGAGGAGTTGAATTCTCCAAAACTAGTATAACCCAATAATACACGTTGATCAAAGTGTAGATTGAACTGGATTTCCCTTGAACTTAGACTTCAAGATTGAAAAATTTTTGGAATACTGAGTTTAGTTGTTATAAGTATAAAATATAATGTCACAAAACTGTAAATAGTATAATGCAAACATACAATTTTTACAACAAAAACTTACATGTTTACATCCATTAGTTCTAATCCCCACTGCAATGTTGTCTTATTTATATCTGCCTGAAATGTACAATTTAAACCATATCATTATTTCATTTATGAGAAAAAAATCGAATACACAACATATTCATGACGAATTATTTTCCAAAATTTCTAATAAAAAATATTTTCTGAAGACGTCCTAACAATTATGCTCAAAATTAGCTGAACTAAATATCATTATCCTCATTCAGAGTGCCAAAATTTGAAACAAACAACACTAAAGTGGAACTAGTAAAACAGAAACTGTTTAAATTAGCAAACATAAGCAAAGCACCAAAAAACTTTTTCTCTCAAAATACATACAATCTAGTTATGTTTGCTGCAAATAATCTACAGGAGTCAATAATCTAGGAAATGAAAACCAAAATAATGTAAATCAATACACATGTTATTAAAGTTAGCATTTTCCTACACTGAAAATGTATTTCCAATAGATACTTACCTCCTCTCATACAATAGCTTTTTTTTGATTAGTACTGCCCTCTACTGGCACAAATTTTCAATGGTCACCACTAATTAACCTTCCACCTCCCGCTTCTGCATATCCACATGTAAATGATTATGCAGCAGCTCTCCACCAATAGGAGCAGGACACCACTCCTACCGTAACCAGTGCCTTTTACACATTTCCACTCGTTAATTACTTAGAGATTGGTCAGAACACCTACACCATATATCACCGGTTTTCAGTAGGGAGGCTGGGTGGGAAATATGAGAGGAGGTAAATATCTATCGAAAATACATTTTCAGTGTAGGAAAATGTTAACTTCCAATATGATATCTTACCTTCGCTCAAGAAATAGCTAGAATAGCTAGAATGTTGGTGGAGGACTGGTGAAAAAATTATCCCCTTTAGGATGCACCTAAAGAGAGACCAGGAGTGTGGAACCAAAAGAGAAAGCATCACACTTTAGCTGAATACTACACCATATCTGATCCAGGTATACTCTTTGCTCTTTTATCACTGTGTCGCAAACATAAAAGGCAGAAAAACACAATAGAATCTTGGAATATGTATGACTGCTTAATGGGACTCCTGGGTGTCAAGTAGCTTGGGCACGACAGACCATAGTGGTAATTTGATCTCATTCAACACCATGCGGTATCTGGAATGGTAAATCAGACCTGTGGTAGGTAGAGGATTACATACCTCTTCACCTCGAAATGGGAATTGGTAGAGAAGACGAGCTACTGTACCAAAATCCGTCTCCACTTGTACACATTTCCAACACAAACGATACCAGATCAGCCAGAAACCAACATCCAGCAGAAGGTAGGAAAAGGGACCACAGAATGCCACCACCCTACTCTCAACTGAGTGGTATGATTTATCATTCAGGAGGACAGGCCTCTATGGTCCACCACCCCTGCAGCTAGGAACTGGTAAATTTTAAGAACTTCCATACTTGACTAGAAGAAAAGAGAAAAAAATGCATTGGAGAGTATGGAGGACTGCATCACCAGAGCCAGCACAACAGGTGACCATGATGTCCTCTTTTGAAAAGCAGAGCAACCATATTGACAGTTATTCAACCAAAACCTGGCGGCATCCAGAATGTTACATCAAGCCACAAAGCATCAGAGATGGGTAGCAATCTCTGTCTGCTTTAATCATGTTAGTCCATGAGTGTACAGTGTACAAGCATATTTATGAAGCAAAAAGCCACTAGAGAGAACTACTAGCAGTCTTACAGAACACCTCATCTCTATGTGTGTTTATAACCCAATCCTGCAATGTAATTGTTTAGGCATAGATTACAATAGAATAGACACACACGCAACCAACACCTGGTGGCATCTGGAATTATACATCAGGTCCACAGTAGGAAAAGCTATGATGTAACTGACATCAAGCATGGTCACAGGATTGACAGTGTGGATTTTCAAAAACAAAAGTATATTTGGTCAGGCACCCCTTGCCACAGAGTGGGATCCACAATACACTAGCCAAAAAGTCCCTGAAAAAGTAAGGAAAGTGGGAAAACACAACCTTTTACAATTCCAAAATGCAAAAATTTAAATAAATAGTAAAGAAAAACGTTGACAAATCTGCAAGCACAAACAAGCACGTCTGTACAGCACTATTGCCAATTGAGAAGTAATTAACTAGTGTAATAGTGAAGAGGGCACTGATTGCGATAGGAGTTGTGTTGCACTCCTATTGGAGGAGAGCTACTGCATGATCACTTGCATGTGGATATGCAGAAGTGGGAGGTGGAAAGCTAGTGGCTAGCATTGAAAATTTGCACCAGTAGAGGGCAGTGCTAATCGAGAAAAGCTATTTTGTGAGAGGAGATAATAGTTCAGAAGACAAATTAAAGTTTTGTAAAATGAAATTACCAAAAACAAATATGTAGTCTTAGTAAAATTGGAAATATATAACAATCAATTTGATTATAGACCCATGATTTATAATGATAATTGTATCGTTCAGACTTGTACAAGGAGACTTGAAGGTTAATGAAGAGCTACTACAATTTTGCATTTACAAATAAATAGTGACTGAAAATTTGAAAATGAAGCTGAAACAACCCACCACAAGAACGATGAAGTTCCAGTTTATGCATGTATATATATATATATACACATATAGCTAAGGATAAAGTATAACGTGCATAAATAGAGGAAACATAACCAATGAGAGAAAATATCTTTAGAAGCTTGTAGAACCCATATTAAAACACTAAACTCTAGTAAAGTATTCATGTTGAAGTGATAATCACTTTATGCCTTGTATGGTTGTTACATTTACCATATTATTCTATACTTAAGGTGCACAAAATATCTGTAATATATTTTCTGAATGTTTAAAAGTCAATGTACTGACATCTATAATAACCAATTTATGGGTACATGTTAAATTTGTTTATTTATGACAAAGCTGCTTAGACTGTCTACTATCAGCCAAAATTTTGAACTGCTGACTAAAAAGAAATCAACCACTCAGCAGTATCCTTCACCAACTATTGGTCTACTTTTGACTAAAGAATAATGACATTGACCAGTATATTATAATGTCTTTACAGCTAAATGGTAAAGCATATTTGGCACCAGGTATTGATCCCACAACCCAAAGATTACAAGTCAAGTAGTCTACCTGCCAGGCCATGTTAGGCCCAAATATGTTAAACTTTGTTTGAATTTTTCTTTTTAACTCTAAAAGTTATTATGTTCTATTATTATTGACCGAGCAATTTTTAGGATTTTCTAATTGCATTATAAAATTCACTAGTCAATAAAATATTTCTATATTTACCAACCACAGGAGACGACTTATAAGAATATTATTGATGACTAATTAAACTAGCACAATCTTGGCTCACTTTTCACTGAAAGATTATCTGCTTCGATGATGGGAAACCCACTTTGAGACTAATAATGGTTGGAGACGGCTTGAATGGGTAATGAAGAAAAACTT